CAGAAATACAGAAATTCTTTGAAACCAATGAGAACGAATATGCAACATGCCAGAATCTCTGGGACACATTTAATGCAGTCTCTAGAGGAAAATATATAGCAATAAGTGCCCATATGAGGAGAATGGAGAGATCCAAAATTGACACCCTATCATCAAAATTGAAAGAGCTAGAGGAGCAAGATCAAAAAAACTCAAAACCTAGCAGGAGACAAGAAATAACTAAGATCAGAGCAGAACTGAAGGAGATAGAGACATGAAAACCCCTTCAAAAAAATCAATAAATCCAAGAGCTGGTTTTTTGAAAAGATCAACAAAATAGACAAACTACTATCCAGATTGATTAAAAAGAAAAGAGGGAATAACCAAATAGATGCAATAAAAAATGATAAAGGGGAAATCACCACAGATTCCACAGAAATTCAAACCATCATCAGAGAATATTACAAACAACTCTATGCACATAAACTAGTAAACCTGGAAGAAATGGATAAATTCCTGGACTCCTGTGTCCTCCCAAGCCTAAACCAGGAGGAGGCTGAAACTATGAATAGACCAATAACAAGGTCAGAAGTCGAGGCAGCAATTAAGAGCCTACCACACAAGAAAAGCCCAGGTCCAGATGGGTTCACAGCTGAATTCTACCAGACACACAAAGAGGAGCTGGTACCATTCCTTCTGAAACTATTCCAAATAATCCAAAAAGAGGGAATCCTTCCCAAATCATTTTATGAGACCAACATCATCCTGATACCAAAACCCGGCAGAAACCCAACAAGAAAAGAAAACTTCAGGCCAATATCCATGATGAACATAGATGCAAAAATCTTCAATAAAATATTGGCAAACCGATTGCAACCGCAAATCAAAAAACTTATTCATTAGGATCAAGTAGGATTCATCCCAGGGATGCAAAGCTGGTTCAACATACGCAAGGCTATAAACATAATTCACCACATAAACAGAACCAAAAACAAAAACCACATGATTATCTCAATTGACAAAGAGAAGTCATTTGACAAAATTCAACAGCCCTTTACGCTAAAAACCCTCAATAAACTCGGTATTGATGGAATGTGTCTCAAAGTAATAAAACCTGTTTACGACAAACCAAAAGCCAATATCATACTGAATGGGCAAAATCTGGAAGCATTACCTTTGAAATCCGGCACTAGACAAGGATGCCCTCTTTCACCACTCTTATTCAATATAGTACTGGAAGTTCTAGCCAGAGCAATCAGGAAAGAAAAAGAAATAAAGGGTATTCAAATAGGAAAGGTGGAAGCCAAATTGTCTCTATTTGCAGATGACATGATAGTATAACTAGAAAACCCCATCGCCTCAGCCCAAAAACTCCTGAAACTGATAAGCAACTTCAGCAAAGTCTCAGGATATGAAATCAATGTGCAAAAATCACAAGCATTCCTCTACACCAATAACAGACTTAAAGAAAGCCAAATCAAGAACGAACTGCCATTCACAATTGCTACAAAAAGAATAAAATACCTAGGAATACAACTCACAAGGAATGTAAGGGACCTCTTAAAGGAAAACGACAAACAACTGCTCAATGAAATAAGAGAGGACACAAACAGATGGAGAAACATTCCATGTTCATGGTTAGGAAGAATTAATATCGTGAAAATAGCTATACTGCCCAAAGTAATTTACGGAATGAATGCTATCCCCATCAAGCTACAATTGACTTTCTTCACAGAACTGTAAAAAAACACCATGAACTTCATATGGAACCAAAGGAGAGCCCGCATAGCCAAGTCAATTCTAAGCAAAAAGAACACAGCAGGGGGCATCACACTACTGGATTTCAAACTATACTACAAGGCTACAGTAATCAAAACACCATGGTACTGGTACCAAAACAGAGATATAGACCAATGGAACAAAACAGAGGCATTGGAGGCAACACAACATATCTACAACCATACAATCTTTGATAAACCTGACAAAAACAAGCAACGGGGAAAGGATTCCCTGTTCAACAAATGGTGCTGGGAAAACTGGCTAGCCATGTGCAGAAAACAGAAACTGGACCCCTTCCTGATACCTTACACTAAAATTAATTCCAGATGGATTAAAGACTTAAACATAAGACCTAACACCAGAAAAACCCTAGAAGAAAATCTAGGCAAAACCATTCAGGACATAGGAGTAGACAAGGACTTCATGAACAAAACACCAAAAGCATTGGCAACAAAAGCCAAAATAGACAAATTGGATCTAATGAAACTCCACAGCTTGTGCAGGGCAAAAGAAACAGTCACTAGAGTGAACTGGCAACCAACAGAATGGGAAAATTTTTTTGCAGTTTACCCATCTGACAAAGGGCTGATATCCAGAATTTACAAAGAACTCAAACAGATTTACAGGAAAGAAACAAACAAGCCCATTCAAGAATGGGCTAAGGAGATGAACAGACACTTTACAAAAGAAGACATATATGAGGCCAACAATCATATGAAAAAATGCTCATTGTCACTGGTCATTAGAGAGATGCATATCAACACCACATTGAGATACCATCTCATGCCAGTTAGAATGGCGATCATTAAAAAATCTGGAGACAACAGATGCTGGAGAGGATGTGGAGAAAAAGGAACACTTTTACACTGTTGGTGGGAGTGTAAATTAGTTCAACCATTGTGGAAGACAGTGTGGCGATTCCTCAAGGCCTTAGAAATAGAAATTCCATTTGACCCAGCAATCACATTGCTGGGTGTATATGCAAAGGACTCTAAATCGTTCTACTATAAGGACACATGCACACGAATGTTCACTGCAGCACTGTTTACAATAGCAAAGACCTGGAACCAACCCAAATGCCCATTGATGATAAACTGGATTGGGAAAATATGGCACATATACACCATGGAATATTATGCAGCAATCAGAAATGATGAGTTCATGTTGTTTGTAGGGACATGGATGAATCTGGAGAACATCATTCTCAGCAAACTGACACAAGTACAGAAAATGAAATACCGCATATTCTCATTCACAGGCGGGTGATGAAAAATGAGAACACATGGACACAGGGAGGGGAGTACTACACACTGGGGTCTATTGGGGGGAAAAGGGGAGGGCCAGCGGGGGGTGGGGGAGCTGGGGAGGGATAGCCTGGGGAGAAATGCCAAATGTGGGTGAAGGGGAGAAAGGAAGCAAAACACACTGCCATGTGTGTACCTATGCAACTGTCTTGCATGTTCTGCACATGTACCCCAAAACCTAAAATGCAATAAATAAATAAATAAATAAGATAGATAGATAAAAAATTCTGGGAGTCTAAATTGGTATTTAAAGGAAATATTTTTTTTCTTTTATATTCAGATGCATCATCTCCAACTTCATAAGCATCCTCTTTCTAAAAAGCATTTTGTGTATTAATCCAGAAATGTTTTTAACCAATGGAATTATAATACAAACACTGTTCTGGTCTTTTTGTTTTTGTTTAAATAACTTTAGCAGTATTTGTTTTTTAAAGGTTAGTTAGAACTCAACAATGAAACTGCCTTGCTCTAGTACATCTTTGCTCCTGTGTACACCTTTAATCATCTTGCTTTCTTGATCATGGGTCTCTTCAATTTATTTACTTACTGGGGATAGTTTTAGTAATTCACTCTAGATTTATAAATGTGTTATGGAGTCTCATGAAGTATATTCTTATAATAATTTTAATGTTGTCATTCTTAATATTGCGTAGTTTTCATCTATCTCTTTGTCATCTATCAGATCGAGAAGTTAAACAGAACAATGCATCTATTTTGGTAATCATTTTTGAAGAACTCGCTTTCTTTAATCCTTCGTAACCTTTTACCTTGTTTTTATTGAAACATATTTTATTCTATATTGGGACATTGCAAATATAGCTTGTTCCTTTTTATAACTATATCAGCATTTACTTTAGAGGTGTGATATAATCTATTTAACTAGCCTTCTATTATTAGCTATGGAGCAAAATGGAAAGTCGTTTATCAAATCTGTTTTCTTAATTTCCTTGTAAGTACACCCATGTGACTGATATCTGACCAATAGAATGTAGGTGAAATGTACATGAGCCTCTTCCTGCACTTGGTGACTAACATGTGCAACTACATTCTTTTTCTCTCCTTTAGAAACCTTAGAAGTCCAATAATAATAATGGCTGCTAGTACACAATGGAATAAGGCCACATCCTTAAATTATTATTTGGAAGGGTGTCCCTGACAAATGAGAACATATAGACCTTACTGAGAAATAAACTTTGATTGTAATAAGTTTCATTAATAAGTTTCTAATGTTTCATTATAATTTATGGGTTGATTTAGTACTTTAATTAAGACAGGATCCTCATAACCAATATACAAACAGAATGAAAGGTACATTATTTTATACATAATCAAATTCAAATACATTTAACTCATAGAATCAATTCCTGTAGTTGCCCTGCTTGATCAAACTGTATTTAGTTTTTAAGGTAATGCAAATCTTCCTTCCTAAGAAGCTATATCGATTTACAGTTTTATGAACAGAATATCCAACAATTCTTACTGTATTAGTCCATGCTCACACTGCTATGAAGAAATACCAGAGACTGGGTAATTTATGAAGAAAAGAGGTTTAACTGACTCACAATTCCCCATCACTGGGGAGGCTTCAAAAGCTTAAAATCAGGGTGAAAGGCACCTCTTCACAAGGCAGCAGGAGAGAGAATGAGTGCTAGCAGACGAAATGCCAGATGCTATAAAACTATCAGACTCATGAGAACTCACTATCATGAGAACAGCATGGGAAGAAATTATAACAATGATTCAATAACCTCCCACTAGGTCCCTTCCATAACATGTGGGGATAATGGAGATTACAATTCAAGATGAGATTTTGGTGGGTAGACACAAAATGGTAGACACAACAAAACCATATCATTCCTCTTACAGTCCCTCCCAAACCTCATGTCCTCACATATCAAAGCACAATCATGCCTTCCCAGCAATCCCTCAGAGTCTTACCTGGTTCCAGCAATAACCCAAAAGTCCACAGTTCAAAGTCTTATCTGAAACAAGGCAAGTTTCTTCCACCTATGACCCTGTAAAATCAAAAGTAACTTCAGTTACACTTGGACATTATGGGAATTACAATTCAAGATGAGATTTGGGTGGAGACACAGAGCCTAACCATATTACTAACCAATGTGGTACACTGTTAAATTATTTGATCTTTGCCAATCTGGTCATAAAAAGTGGGAGCTAACAGTTGTTAGGTGAAGCTGAGTAGCTTTTAAGACTCATAACTTTCAGACTTTTATTGTAAAAGTGATCTATTTATAAAGTCCCGTTTCAAGTGACTAACAACTGTCTCTCTATTCATGAACTAGAATGAAACATTTAAATTTGTTACAGCATCATAACCCTCCCAAATATTTGTTAGGATTAGATTCTCTCTTTTCCCATTCTGCTGCATGTTGTTATTTATTCTCATTTTTCCACCCAGTCCCAAGTTAAAAAAAAAATCAACTTATATTTTATTGGGCACACATTAAACTTATAGATTATTACATTAATGTATTAATAGAGAACTGACAGCTTTGTATCACTGAGTCTGCTTGAAGAAAAGTTTGTGTAAATTGTTTTCAATACATCAGCTCCCTTACTAATTTCTCTGCTTCTATTTTTAAAAGGTATTTTTATTTTTTTCTAAGTCTACCATTATTTCATATACAAATAATGACAATTCCATCTTTTTTTCCAGTCTTTAAATGATTTCTTCTTCTTGACAAGTGTCATTTACTATGACTCTCTGGAACAAAGCTAAATAATAGTGAACTAGTAGTCAACTTTGCTATTTTGCTAACTTTAATAGGTGATGTCCCTATTCTGCTTGGTTTAAATGATACTACATCTAGAAAGTATTCTTTAGGGCTAGTCATCTGGAGGGGAGCATTCCTAAAGCTCAAAGTTAATGTTTTCTTTTTCGTTTTTTGTCTTGTTCTCACTTTTGCTTCCTTTTGATAGTTTTTGGGGAAAGAAAATATGTAAACATACATTTACTCTTCATACTTCTTGAAGTCCGAGCCCTTTCATAAACCTATGTGAAGTATTTTATAGTTCCTGTCAACTTTTACAAGAAATAATTAGATGGATAGCTCACAGATTGTTTTATGATCCCCAACAGGAAGCACATTCGTGTTTAAAGCTGAACTCACTCACATAATTATATTTATGTCAACTGCAAGCAGAGAGTTTTTTAATTATTATTATTGATGACTTCTACAGAGGATTTCCTGAGAAATCCACATATGTTCTAAATCAATTGCATTGTCTTCAGTTAGTCTCAAAATACCATGACCAAACTCAAATCAGGGAGCCTAGGTAGAGGCTGGCTTCATGGCTAATTAATCTTTTTCAGAGGAAGTAAAGTAACTTAAACAGTGACAAGAGTGAGAAGTGGTACTATGGCAGCAGAAGCCTTGGGCCCACCCCTTTTTCCCAATGAAGAAAGCAAAGGAGATAGAACACAGACCCCATGAACTTTCTGCCTCTCAGTGGGAAGGGAAGTGGAGGCATTTAGTCCCTTTTACAAAAGATACCATGGTCATGACCTCTACTTGCCTGAGAAAAGAAGCACAGAGGCCTGGGTGGAACATGGGCTGTGTGAATCTTAAGGGTTGCTGTGATAGAAGGCCTAAACACCAGGAACTTGCAAGTGCCAGTAACTCTAGGCCCTGTGCTAGAGGAGCTGTGGTGAGTTTAAAGATAACAAAACATGATTTCTTTCTTATTGCCTTGCCAATTCAGTTGGTGGAAAAAAAAAAAAAAAGATAGTTGATTGAAGCCAAAGAGTTTCTGTTCAGCATTTTCTAAGAGGCCCTGGGCTAGTTACAAGGGTATAAACTTGAATAAAACACAAGTATATGAGCCTCAGCTGGACACAGATTAAGACAGGTCTTTATAGAATCCAGAAAAAGATGTGGAGATGATCACAGATTGACAAGACAGTGTTACAAGTACTTGGATTGCAATAAAGAAGAAATGGTGTGAAAACAGACAAGGCCAGGCAACCTAGTTTGTATAGAGCAACTAAATGGTTTGCAAAAAGAAGTGACACAGGAGGGGTCTTGATGGATGTCTAAGAGTTAGACAGGAAAAGGAAGGTCAACAGGACTTACTTTCTAGATAGAGGAAACATCTATGTGAACATGAACAAAGTAATAAAAGGTAACACTTTGTATAACATGCCAGCCACTCTATTTAGCATTTTAACATATATAAATTCATTTAATCCACACAACAGCTCGGCTGCAGAGTAGCTTGAGATCAACTCCAAAAATTGGATCATGTTACTTTGTGAAATGAGAATGGAAAGATGCAGAACATGAGGCAAAGTGGGAGATAAGATTTAGATCATGGAAACGTAACCAAATTTTTGGGCTCACACTCATGATTGTATAACAAACAATACTGAAAGTATTCATTGAGGGCAAAAGGAACACTGAAGTATACTGATGTTTACTTATGAAGTTTCTTATTTTTGAAATGGGGAAGATAATCATCTTTCCTCTGTCTACTTCACAAGATTATTTTGAGAACCAAAAACAAACCTATCAGCATTAAAGGGCTACATAAACTGTAAGGGTCTTATACAAAGGTTAATTCTTAGGATTTGTAAAGAATGAAGAAAAGAGGAATGTATTTTCCTCCCATTTTCCTAGGTGATACAATAGCAAGTCGTTTGCAGAAAGAACTACAAGGTCTCAATAACTCAAGAAGTTACTCTTAACCCCCAAATTTTTGTTGTAGCCAGACTTGGTCTTTATAGAGAGAAAAAAAAGTCTTGGCTCTATTCAAGATTTCAGGATCTTTCTCTTTTCAAATAATTCAAAGAGCATACATAGTTCAACCTGATTTTTTTCTTTTAAATGGAAATGCAGGCCAGGCAAGCAATAAACTCCTTTCACCTTTGGACATTAAAAAACACACAGAGGGTCTTCCAGCAAGCATTTATAAAGCTTCCAGGCATAACTCTGTTAATCAGCTAACAAAGTGGATTATCATTACTCATATTGGTTTTGCATTGTATAGCTCATGAAATTCTTCTCCAGGTATTGTTCTCCAGTCAATAGTTGAACTAACTTACATTGAGGGCCTACAATATGTGAGGTGTTTTACATAAATTACCTACAATCTATGCAAGAGCCCTGTCGACAAGCCCACTTTAACAAGGTCACATCACCAGAAATGATGTGGATTTTGCTGTTAGACATCGCTTTGAATTTTACAGTGGGATTCAAAGCCATGCTTGTCTAGTTGCAAAATCTATTTTCTTTCTATCAAACCAAGATAGGAATTCATGTAACCAGTAAGTGTATTCTCTCTCTGCTATTTTCTACGTAGAGTTTTGGATAACATTACCCAGTGTCCTTGTCTCAATTTTCTTATGTCTACAGTAAGGTGATTAGATGTAATTATCTTTCATATTGCTTCTCCCTCAGACAGTCTATGAACACTTGATTCAAATTATGTACGTCAGTGCTGAAGAAATACAACCCCACTCCTATCCTTGTTACCCATCCCCCCAGCCAGCCAAACAGCTGAATCAAGTCTGGCAACCATAAGGTGACAAATGTCACATTGGGGTCTCCCCAAAACCCAATATGTAAACCTCAGCTAAGATTTTCCATATGTCCTTACCCATAAGGGATATGAGGAAAACAAACACAATCTAAGAAAAACTTCAGCACGTTAACTCTAAGCCTGATTGGGAAACATACAGAGTTTTTAGATTCTTTTCAAATGAAACTCAGTGGCTAATAGCCAGAAAAATAAAATGTTAAGCAGACATAAGATGGAGAAGACAGATCTGGAAAACTCTGGGGTAAAAACATGTTTAAAATAAAAGATGGATACAGTATCCAAGGAAAAGTTGAGACACATGTATAAACTCTTCTGCACAAATAGACATCTCATATAGAAACCTTTCTTAAATGCTGTAGTTTTTCAACACACCCTTTTCTGAAAACTTCAGAAGGCTAGATTGTCACAGTGAAAATGCAACTTCAGTAAATTCTAACAAATAAGGATGTATTGACCTGGAACTCACTCCTCTCAGGGGCATTTCTATCCAGAGGAAATGCTTTCAGCACGAAGATTCCGGATGCACTAAAATGTAGTAAGATCCAGGATCACTGTTCTCAGAAAAGGAAGCCCTTGGAGCATGGCTTGTGGTTCCAAGGCTGCTCAGAAATACCATTTGTTTCCCTCCTATCTGCTAGCCATATTCTCCCTTAAGTCAAATGATATAAAGAGGTCTTCTGCCTAATTACTCAATTAGGACCATAAAGAGGGAGAGAATATACATTTTAATATATTCCGAGGGTGAAATAACTCTTGATGCTTAATTATCCTACCTCTCATAGAGTGTGGATCTTTTGACATACTTTAATTGAAGATAGAAGTTAGAGGACAATTTGGGACCTAAAGTTTTAAAGGTATGACCATGGCCTAGAGGAAGGGCCACACTGATTGAGCACCTACAATGTGTAAGGCATCCTATATTATGTTTTCTTAAATCATTACACAAGTTTACTTGTTAAGTACTGTGTTGTGTTTTATACATAAAGAAGCAACGGCTCAAAGAGCTTGATGTGAGTAGTCCAAATCTACACATACGTGGGCAAAATTAGAACTGCTAGCTGTTCCTTGAATTGGTCCTTCTCTCTCATGCCCTCATAATCTTTGTAAGTGTTTTTACCTTTGTTGGAAAAGCCTTTCCTGGATTCCTCTACTGTCCCTTTTAATCCATCTGCTGAATCTTCCATGACTTCCTCAGAGAGGGTTAGACCCTTTGTCTGCTATGCTTCCACTTCCGGAATTAATAAGATATTTTCCAAAAGTACATTATAACATATAGGGTTTATTTTTGGCTCATTGCCCAGTCACAACTAAGTCGTCCTCTGACAGCAGGATTGTATTTTTTTTAATTATCATAGCTCTGGCACCAAGCATTAAGTAAGCACCCATTATAACTTTGCGGCAGGTAGGAAGAGATGTCAGGAGGAGGAAAGAGGAAAGGGAAAAAGATTGGGAGGGCAACAAGAAGGCTAATGAGGGAAAGTCTGGAAAAGAAAGAAGAAAGGACAAAAGAAAAAAAAAGAAGCAAAACAGGATGGAAGAAGCAGAGGGTAAGTGATATGGTTTGGCTCTGTGTTTCACCCAAATCCCATCTAAATTTGTAATTCCCACATGTCAAGGGAAGGACCTGTAATTCTGTTATGTGGAGGGAGGGAGATGATTGGATTAAGGGGGAAGTTTCTCCCATGCTGTTCTCATAATAATTAGTGAGTTCTCACGAGGTCTGATGGTTTTTTAAGGGGTTCTTGCCCCCTTGCTTGTTATTCTGTCTCCTGCAGCTTTGTGAAGAAGGTGCTCGCTTCCCCTTCACCTTCTGCCATGAGTGTAAGTTTCCTGAGGCCTCCCTAACCACGTGGAACTGTGAGTCAGCTAAACCTCTGTTCTTTATGAATTACCCAGCCTCAGAGAATTTCTTTATAGCAGTTTGAAAACAAACTAATACAGAAAGAGAGGATAGAAGGAAATAAATTAATGCTACTTCTCTATTAAAATATTACAAGTTACTCCAAAATTTAGTATCTAAAATAATAAACATTTATTTTCTCACAATCTATGATTCAGGGATTCAGAAGGTGACTTGTAGTTCTGGCTCAGCTTTCTCAAGGGCTTGCAGTCCAAATATCAGGTGGAGATGTAGTCATTTGAAGGCTTGGCTGTGGCTGGAGGACCCACCTGCAGGATGCCTGATTCACATGGCTACCAAGTAGGTGACAGTTACCAGCAAGAGACCTCAGTTCTTCATTGTAAGGACCTCCCAACAGAGCCACTTAAGAGTCCTCATTATATGCCTGTTGGTTTCTCCACAAAGCAAGTAATCAGACAAAAGAGAACAAGGAGAAAGCCACAATGTCTTTTATGACCTAGGCTGCAAGTCATGCACCATCCTTTCTGTCATATCCTATTGGTTATTCAAGTCAACCTTATTCCTTGAAGGACAATTTACACATAGGCAGGTGACAGAGACCACTGGAGGCCATCTTGGAGATATAGTTAATTTAAATGTTGACCTACATATGTGGTTAATTTAAAGACACTGCTTGCGATTGCCCCAGAATGTTACAATGCCAATACAATCACATCATTTTCTTTCTTCTCAAAAATATCAGGAGTGCAGATATAGAAGGGGGCCATGCTGCTCATCATTTTTGGAGGTAAGCATAATCTAAATGATAAAGAAATAGATAACTGAATGCTAAGCCTGTTGAAATACTTCAAGCAAACTCAGGTTTGTTTATTTGGTTAATTCTCAGACTGCCTTTATGGATAAAAAATATTGCCGTGCCACTACAAAAACCGTATGGTAAAAAAGAAATATGTACATTATTTGGAGCTTACAGTGTTCAAATTGACTCTTGATTTAATGACTTATTGACTGAATTACCTGGCTAAAATTTTTAAGCTCACTTAGCCTCAGTTCTTTCTCTATAAAATGGGTCTAATACTGCCAATAGGATAGTTCTGAGAATGTGCATCATAGCAACCATAAAATATCTTGGATAATCCTTGAAGCATAAGAGGTGTGATTTTTTTCACCCTTTTTCTTATTTCAGATAAAAAATGAGAAAAAATCATGCAGATAATTAGAGGTCTTTTCAACCACAAAACAAACATCTAGATATTTGAGAATATCTGCATGTTTAAAATAATATAAAACAGAGCATTCAGAGTAACTCCATCTGTCCACTCTTAGTTTAGGTGATTTTGGAATTTAGTGAAGGCAATCCATTTTTGTAATGCCAAAGGAGAAAGGACAGGAATAATATTAAAAGTGAATGGCCAAGACAGCCTTGAAGTTTAGAGTTGCAGAGGCCTTCATGATTATAGCATGATGCTTCTTAATGCTGCCTGCTCACATTGGTACCACCTGGAGAACTGTTAAAATTTCTGTTCCAGGAATTATCACTGGGTTTTCCTGGGTTGGTTTTTCAGGGCTCCCTGGATGATTTTAATGGTCAGCTAGCTGGAGAAGCACAGATCTAGCACAACCCTCTCAGACAGCAAGCAACATAAAGATATGAAGGCTAGCTATTACAAACTCTTTCCAAAGCCCCTGAAATGGCTCACCCAAATCTTATTTTGAATCGTAACTCCCACAATTCCCATGTGTATGGGAGGAACCCGGTGGGAGGAGATTGAATTATGGGAGTGGGTCTTTCCTGCGCTACGCTTGTGATAGTAAATAGGTCTCATGAAATCTGACAGTCTTGAAATGGGAATTTCCCTGCAAAAGCTGTCTTTTGCCTGCTGCCATCCACAAAAGATGTGACTTGCTCCTCATGCCTTCTGCCATGATTGTGAGGCCTCACTAACCATGTGGAGCTGTAAATCCAGTAAACCTCTTTCTTTTGTAAATTACCCAGTCTTGGGCATATCTTTATCAGCAGAATGAAAACAGACTAACACAGCCACACTCATATTTCATTACTTTTTAGTTCAATTTATTTGATCAACAATAATTGAAGTTATATTAGAAATAAATGCTAATGAATATTCCCTGGGATTTATTACCATTGCATAGTTTACTAAACAATGTTCAATTGCATTAATTCCCTTGATCTTTAAAAATAACTTCATAAGATAAATTGAAGTGAATATTAATTAACTCTGCCTCATAAATGAACAACTTGAAGCTGAAGAAAGCAGAGTAAACATTGCAAGGAATGAAGCAAACAGGTAGCAGAGACAGGACTTTACAGCAAGTCTTCTGAATCCAAATTCTTTATTGTTCTGTTATGCACAAAGAAAATGTTTAAAAGTGCTGTTTTGTTAGGGTCATATATAGCCTCTTCCCTCTCACAAGCCCTTAACCAAATGAAATAGTGTGAACATAGAAAGTAGAGGCTCAAAGTTCCAAATTCAAGGGCTACACAAGGCTCTTAAAGAGTGGCGTCATGTTTGAAAAGCAATTTTCCTGATTTTAGCTTCCTGTTAACTATCCTGCAATGCAAAACCCTTTGCATCAGATTTTGAGGAAAGAATAATTTTGACTGCACATTGTTTCATTCAGTTTCTGAAGCAAAGAGGTAGCAACTAGCTAATGCCATGCTCAAAGGGATGATTTTGCTCTGCACTAAGACACAGTAAGAGAGCAATGAGGGGCCTTAGACGTTGTCTTTGTTTCTTATGGCCAGTATAACAAAGTTCCACAACCCTGGGGGCTTCATGTAACAAAAATCTATTCTCTCACCATTCTATTGTCTTACCATTCCTTCTCGGTCTCTTCCAGCTTCTGATAGCTCCAGGTGTTCCTTAGCTTATGGCTGCATTGCTCCAGTTTCTATCTCTATCCTTATTGAGTTCTCTCTATTTGTGTCTTCTCCTCTTTAGTATTTTTTTTTCTTTGAGATGGAGTCTCCTTCTGTTGCCCAGGCTGGAGTGCAGTGGTGCAATCTTGGCTCACTGCAGCCTCCGCCTCGTCCAGGGTTTAAGTGATTCTCCTGCCTCAGCCTCCTGAGTAGCTGGGACTACAGATAGGCACCAAAATACCTGGCTTATTTTTTCTTTTTGCACTTTTAGTAGATATAGGTTTGCTCCATGTTGGCCAGGTTGGTCTAAAACTCCTGACCTCAAGTGATCCGCCAGCCTCAGCCTCCCAAAGTGCTGGGATTACAGGCATGAGCCACTGCACCTGGACTTATTTAGTCTTTTATTAGGACACTTGCCATTGTATTTAGAGTCTATCCAAGTAATTTAGAGAAAATTCATCCTAAGATTTATTTGCCAAGTCACTTTTTATTCTAAACAAGGCACATTCACAGGTTCTGGGTGGACATAACTTTTGGGGAATCATTGTCAATCAACTGCAGATGTATTTTGCTGTTGTTGCAAATTGCTTTGGTCTGTTTGCTTTTTAGTCATCACTGGCATGAAGAAAATTTCTTAATGATTTGAAGATTTATTTATACCTAGACTTCTTCCTAAGCTCTCTTTATAGCTCTTATTTTATAGTGATGTTTAGAATTTCTAGAGACAATCCCATCATCTGCATAAATGATAATCTCTCTCCCTCCTTCCAATTCATAGCTGCATTTGACATTCATAATTTTAAGATATGGTTCTCAAAAAGCAAATTATCTTAAGAGCAGGTGTAGGAGTTATTGCTGTCAGTTAAAGGAAATCAAATTTGTCAAGGCAAAGGAACAAAGTAAGAATGTCAGGGCAATTCAGGGCACAGATTTAAAGAGCTGAGACATATTCGAAATTACTAGTTTCATCCTTTGTTTTTTTGTTGCCAGTGCATATACCAAGGCTCAGCTACTTGAAGACACTTGCACAAGGTCACTCAAAAGAGAAAGAATTAAACAAGCACACACACACACACACACACACACACACACACACACACACACACACATGCATACACCTCCTCTCCTTTCAATCTATAGTACTAAAATGATACTTTACCTCTGAATATGTTACTCACATAAAAATCTTAGGTCCAGCATGGTTGCTCATGCCTGTAATCCCAGGTGGGCGGATCATGAGGTCAGGAGATCAAGACCATCCTGACTAACATGGTGAAACCCTGTCTCTATTAAAAATATAAAAAATTAGGGCGTGGTAGCGCATGCCTGTAATCCCAGCTACTCAGGAGGCTGAGGCAGGTGAGTCACTTGAACCTGGAATGTGGAGGTTGCAGTGAGCTGAGATCGCACCATTGTACTCCAACCTGGGCAACAGAGCCAGACTCTATCTCAAAAACAAAAACAAAAAAACAAACAAAAAAAAAAAAAACAACTTTATTGACTGGTATGTTTTTGAGGCAAATCTACCAAGGCCTGAATAGTCCTTCCTAACTCTCCACCCTCACTTTGTGTCTCTCTTGCAGGTTTTCATTCACTCTGTTCTGGACACAGTCTGCTTTTACTTCACTGAATCTGCCAACCTGGTCTTAGGGCTTTCACATGTACTTTTCTTTCTGGCTGAAGAAATCTCCCTCTTCACACTTTTGTCCTTTTCCCTGCTGTCTGTTTAACTAACTCTCATTGCCCAAGAGAAGATGGGCCACTCCTTCCACCCAGATTAGATTGAAGCCATACTTTTCTGTCTCATTGGACATCCAAAGATCATTAATATCAGGTATAACAATAGCAATTAATACTGCATATAATTTATATGTCTTTCCCACTAGTCTGTAAACTACATGAGAGTCCAAACCCTATATCTTACAAAGTACGCAGCTCATAGGATGTGCCTAATTTTAAAAATTGATGAATGAATGAAACACTCATTTTTATGCTTGTCTCACTAATATCACAGGCTTTAATTCTTCAGTTCTTTAAAATACTCCATTCCCTTCTTTATCTGCTATCGCTATGTATTCCCTAAGTTCATTCGTTCTCATTCCTAGCTGCTTGAGGCAGGGCAGTTATCTTAGAAAAATCACCTAATGCTTAAACAGCATCAAATACTAATTTTAGATACTTAAAAGCTTCAAAAAGATTGTGTCACAAATGGTATGAGCACAATCTGTTATGATTCAGAATGTATCTTAAGTAGTCTCTTCTTGGTGGCCTTTATTTAAGCTATAATGAGAATAATAAACTTAATAGCTAGTATATTAAATATGTGTTTTTCATGGGAGGCAATTATTCTCAACTCTCACTTCCTTCCCAGACCTAAAGGATCTCATCTTTCTAGGGTATAGCACAAATTGAGGAACCAGACAACCTAATTCCTTCTGTTGTTTTAAAGTTTTGGGCCAGGCGCAGTAGCTCACACCTGTAATCCCAGCACTTTGGGAGGCCGAGGTGGGCAGATCACGAGGTCAAGAGATCAAGAGGCCAATACTG